TGTCATTAACCCCTGGTACCTTCCTCCCCTCGTCAGATCATGCTTTCGACTATATTTTTAGCCGTTTTACGTATCAGCATGCATATTTTAAACTCAAATCAAATTGAAGTTCATCAAATTTCTTCGACAATTTCATTTTAGATGCTGTAAAATGTTAAATATTATGCCGCATTACGTAATTGTGTATCGAAACAATCGAAGTAATCAATAATTTTGATTTTTACTTTTTTTTTTTTTCTTAGAAAAAATATCGGATAATACAGAATTTTTCGAAACTATTATCTGCTCAAATAGAAAGGAAATGTCAATCCAAGCGATATTTGATTAGTGAAAGATTAATATTTAAAAATTAGAGAAAACTGATTTCACAGAAATGTCACTCAAAACGTATAACAAGAGAAAGAGAGAGAGAGAGAGAGAGAGAGAGAGAGAGAAGCATGCTTTCATAAAGTATCAAATTAATTCTTTGAGTCTTATCTCTAATATAGATCACGGATGATCCGATGAGCTAATCTTTCATTGTTGTGATACGATTGTATATATTTTCGTCACGTGGCAATATAGATTTCATTTCGTATCAAAACTTTTTTTGTAAGCACAACAGAGGCAGACGAATAGATTAGGTATAAATTTAAATATCACCAACTGGTCGTTGGGATTTGATCAAGAGATTAGATTTCAGATCCGTTATTAAAAATGGATATTCTTTTATTATTTCGTGATATTAATACGATTTTGGTCGACTTTGTCGGCTCTTTCATCTTTTTCACGAGATGTTTTTGGCGTGGTGCCCGTAACCGGTGTATATACATATCTTGAGGAAACGAAAGTCTTTAGCAGACTTTCTGTCGTCATCGTGACGTCGCAATGCCGCCAAAATAGCAAACAAAGTAGACAGAGTGCTACGTCCTGCTGACGTCAACTGCGCGAAATACGTCGGAAAATTTATTAATATCGTATTACATTCAATATTTTTGTTGACGATAATTGCAAAGTAAGAAAATCGCATCTACAATAGAACAAAAAATGATATTCTACTTTTCCTCTAATATCGCACAATTTTCATATTCAATTATTTATAATTATTTAAAAGTATATAATTATTATAAAAGAGAAAATAATTATTTAAGAGAAAAGGGAAAATTAAAATAATATATGTGTTGCAGAATTAAAAATGACATTTTCTTACTGTGAAGAATATCAATATATGTATATGTTATCAACATTTATATAAATTAGAAAAAAATTTTTAATTTTCCTTTGCGCGCGATCTTCATTAAATACAATCGATCAATTAAAAAGGACATGCGAAGAATTATAAACGAGTATGTTGAACTCACTTCGAGCCTGCAGAAACTTAAAGATGATTGTGCCGAGTGCATAACCGGGAACAAAAGTTAATCCAAGTGAATACTAACCGAGGGCAAACGGTTCGTAATAATCACCGCGATAAAAGTGCGTGCAGAGTATAAATTTGCAGTTTGTTTCTCTTCTCATCGCTCATGGACGGATCTCGTTACGACACGAGAGGCTGGGGGACGATGGCTTTCTCGAGGAATCATGACCTCGCGTTATGATTCCAAGGCTTGTATGTCACTAACATGCCATTTCTGATTTTCGTTTACCTAAAACGATAATGTAACATCACGACACAGTGATTGGACGTTATTTTCTGCGCGTGCATTTTTATTTACTTTTGATTAACGTATAGTAAATTGAAAGTGCTTCTCGTGAATACATACGCGAAAAATAATCAATATCTTCTATTTCGATATATAATGATAACTATATGTAAACATATTAAATGAGAGAACACTTTTTAGCGTTTATTTATATGTATTATAACGGGAGTGCGAGTGCGATTACAGTCACATTTTTTATTTTATTTTATTATTTATAAAGAGTAAAAAAATAAGAAATTACGGTATAATTATAATCATGAGTTATAGCTACAATTCCATATATGTATGCGTGTATATAATGTGCGAATATCATTTATAAATATGACAGAAAGATGAGCCTATCTGCCGGTTTTGTTTTTTATTTCATTATCGCGATATCTCGGTCTCTCAACGTCAATGAACGCTCATTGAGCGAAAGGCATAATCGATCATCAGTGCAGCCGACATCGGTACCGCGTATCGCTCTGATCGTGAGAGAGAGAGAGAGAGAGAGAGAGAGAGAGGAAGAGAGAGAGAGAGAGAGAGAGAGAGAGAGAGAGAGAGAGAGAGAGAGAGAGAGAGAGAGAGAGAGAGAGAGAGAGAGAGAGAGAGAGAGAGAGAGAGAGAGAGAGAGAGAGAGAGAGAGAGAGAGAGAGAGAGAGAGAGAGAGAGAGAGAGAGAGAGAGAGAGAGAGAGAGAGAGAGAGAGAGAGAGAGAGAGAGAGAGAGAGAGAGAGAGAGAGAGAGAGAGAGAGAGAGAGAGAGAGAGAGAGAGAGAGAGAGAGAGAGAGAGAGAGAGAGAGAGAGAGAGAGAGAGAGAGAGAGAGAGAGAGAGAGAGAGAGAGAGAGAGAGAGAGAGAGAGAGAGAGAGAGAGAGAGAGAGAGAGAGAGAGAGAGAGAGAGAGAGAGAGAGAGAGAGAGAGAGAGAGAGAGAGAGAGAGAGAGAGAGAGAGAGAGAGAGAGAGAGAGAGAGAGAGAGAGAGAGAGAGAGAGAGAGAGAGAGAGAGAGAGAGAGAGAGAGAGAGAGAGAGAGAGAGAGAGAGAGAGAGAGAG